TTACTTGCAAATCTTCAAAAATTTAACTTTAAAAAAAATGGTTAAATAATTCAATATATATATAAATGATACATTTTTCAAGTCTTTAAACGTATAGTTTTCTTTTTTTATACTAATTTATTTTTTTGTTGTATCTATATCGACCATATCCATTTGGATTTTTAAACAATTGAATATTAACTAATGAATTTAATTTCTGGATTATTTCACAGAATACCTGATCAAAATGTTTAGATGTCAAGTTCTTACAAACTTTTAAACTAATTATTAAAATTTCTATTTATATTATTTGTTTAATTCGTATTTTTATTTATAGTATATAAATTATGTATGTTTCATTAAGCATAACGAGGAAGTACTGATTATAATTTGTTTTGTTTAATGCTTCAACACATTTCAACGGAAAAAATTATGAGATACTTAATTTATTTATTTCTTTTAATATAGAGAAGGTGGGGATTCTTTACATAGACGAAAATAGCTGAGACGATAAAAAATGTCCGTAGGTAAATTGCCTTACACTCTAGATATATTTTTTTTTGGTGAATTAATAAAAACTTCAAGCTATATACTTTTACATATTATAATTATTTCTATAGATAAATAAGTGGAGTGAGTGAACGAGGTAACTAGGAGCCTAGTAGGCAAATTTCCCCTTTCCACAATTTTTAGACCATGATATGCTTGACAAAAAAAAATAACAATAACATTTTTGTCACGAGTTTTGTGTGTATAATAATTAATCATTACACTTAAATTATATATGTATTGATATTTTAATGTAGGTATATGGTTATTGATTATTTCAGTTTTCGCAGAAGCAATCATAGTGAAGCACAAGTAAAGTCTACACGATGACATTACAACAACATAAAATATTGGTTCTTCTTCTACGAGGACAATTAAAACGTACATAAGGTCGACCACGTATCTACATTTCAGAATAGATTCAAAGATCTACATAGTTATGTATTAAAAATATTAAACAAATAAGATTTATAAATAATGATAATTGGTAATTTTTTAAAAGTACCTATTCGTTTCTAAATACAGGTGTACATATTTATGGATTATTATACGTGTTTACTGTAAAATGAAAAATGTATAATTATTTAATATTTTGTCGTTTATAAATTACATTCGATTTATTAAAAATTATTTTTAATGTCGATGACCCTCCTTCCACTTTTGATCTTATGGGTTATGCTTATTTACCTCGCAGGACTTCCCTCGACTGCTAAATGCTAGTTTCGTCACAAAACTACAAAAGAGTGGCATGAGAGACTGACCCCCTACCGATTATTTTGAACTTGATTTTCTAGTACCGTAGCTTATCTTTTACTTTTGTAAAGTTTTATAAATTCACCATCATCAATCAATAATTAAATTAAAAAACGAGACCATTGTCGCGATGCGCTAGGGTTAGAATCTATAAAAGTCCACATATGCGGTCATAGGTATGTGATACATTCATATAGATAGTAGGATAACACTTACCTAATATTGTATTTATAATTTTTTAAAAGCGTTCTCTTCTCTGCATACTGGAGACCAACGACGGTCAAATAACACAGCTAGTGTTGTGTTTGGCGATTTTATATTTAGCTGTATCTACAAACGGAACGGTATAGCTGTGACGGTGGTAGGTAAATTTGCTTATTTGCCATTTTTCTTTTTTATAACGTAAGCGACGACCAACGTGACTATTTTAAATGATTCGTTTATTATTATTTCACAAATAAAACACCACAGCGAAGCACAGAGAGTGCGTTTCGAAGCCGCTACGGGAGCTATACTAGTCAGTATTAGATTATTATAAGCGTTAGTATGATACAAACACAGAATTCCATTTAAGCGGATTACAAGTGATGATTTGCTGTCCTTGTCTATGATACAACTATACAAGTGATACAACCTAAATAATATATGAGATATATTGGTGTTCAAACGAACCAATCTATTTATGATGATGCGATAAGAATTCTGAAAACGTTTCATTGTTTCAAATTCTTAAATTTGAATGATTAGGCGCGCAAATCGTAAAATTGAATATCTACATCACATGTTATGTTCCAATTTTTAAAATTTACTCTATTTCATTATTTATATAGATCGCAGGCGTAAATTGGCGAGGCTTAGCTTTAAGCAGCTCTTATCCCAAATAGTTCTTAACTTAACTTTGTCAGTATAATAAATTATGTCATGGGGATTATTGAAAGCGGTAATTTTCTGTTTTTGTCTAGCTCATGCGCAAAATAGGATTATGATTGACGTGTTCTATTTCTACATACTGATTGATACGATGAAGTGATAAGAATTTTTAAAACATATTTAAACTTGTCGTCAAATCTTCTTGAGATCGACTTTCCCATATTTTGATATTAGGTTTAGGTATACCTCAAAATCTTAAAAACGTTATAGATAAATATAAAAAAAAAGTAATTAAAAAATTGGCATTTTTACATTTTTGGAGAAGTTAAAATCAAAAATATGAAAACATCGATCACAAGTAGACTTGACAACAAATTCAGTTCTGTTTTTAGAATTCTTATCGATTTATGTAATAAATCGGTAGATACTAGATACGTTGGAAATAGAAATACATGTAGATATTTCTAGTCTGCCCCAAGATTTTTAACCATATTTATTTAAAATGGACATTTCAAATTTGTTTTGACAATATTCTCATAACATCATTGTTTAATCGATCGATTGATATGTTACTGTTAGAAATAAAATATTTCAAAATCATGATAATAATAATAGTAAGACTGTTGTCGATGTCTAACAGTACAAACTAGTGACGTTTAAAGGTCACATTAAGGTAGGGAATAATTTTGTATTTGTTAAAAAAAAACTTAAAAAATTTACCAATATTAATAGAAATATGAAACATCAGATCCCCCTCTCTCGATTGGATTGAATGTTACTTTACTTACTGAAAGGATGCGTCTGGCATAGACGTTGATTGAACATTTTATGTATTATGTACAGCCCGACAATAGCATAATTTAGAATACATTTTTGGAAGTATCAAAATAAAAATAATTTCCATTCTATTTTGTCTAAAAATAACGTAACACAAAATTCTTAGTCATCCACAGAAAATTAATATTGTATCATAATGGCTTAAAATTATATAAATACATGTAATACCAACACAATAAATTAAAGCTTAGATCAGGGAACAAAACAGATCCTTTACTACTACAATAAAATGTTGACAATTGTCTCCTCTCCATAGAAACCTATACTAAACTTGAATGACTTTATACAGATGAATGATGATGTAAATTTATAATTTTATAATTTACATTATATTTCTTCAAAAATGTCTATTTTATCATAAATTAGGCAATTGATATTAATTATTACAAGCATAGTTAATAATAATAATACAAATAATTTACACGCAAAAAAATATTTAAATTTAATATAGATAATTATATTCAAATTATAGAGGTATAACGCATCATGATCTTGTATTTTAACAAGTGTACAAACACAATATCAATAGATGATTACACTTGAAAAGGAGACTTTTTGAGCAGAAATATTATATAATATTATGTAAAAAAAAAAAATACAAATCATGAAATAATAATAATAATAATAATATAAATAACTATCACATCGTATACCTAGTTTTACTATTTAATGAACTAAATAGTAATTAGGTTCTGTAAATTAAAAATTGCAGGGCGTTAAAATATTGCAGATCAAGAATGGAAATAATGTGCCAAAAAACAAATACATTAATAATTGTAGTTTTTTATTTTACTTATGGCGTTTATTTGATTCATGGACAGCCATACTCATATGAAACAGTAAGAGTATAAATTAAATTACAGTACTTGTCATAATGGTGTTATCCAATCAGTAATTAAAAAAAATTAATTGAATATAAAATGTATTATAATTTAATTGGATAGGTAAGTTAATAATTTAAAAATAATTAAGCATGTGAATTCCCGTCTGTTAGGATGAAATACTTATAATAAACAATGTAAAAAGTATAGTTGAATAATGAATTGTCCAATAATTAGAAAAAACACTGTGATTTAAAATTACAGATTGTATTTTACAATCAATAATATTTTTGAACTTATTAGAGTGGTACTTCAATGCAATCACATTGCTGTTTTGATAAAGTATATTCTGGAGTTAATTAAAAAATTAAAAAATTTAAAAAAAATTAAAATTAATTGGAATGAAGTGTCTTGATTCAAATATGATTAATTTGCTATTAACTGGTGATTATATTAAGTAACACCTACTTAGTTTGCATAGGTTACATTGACATGGAATAATACTTAGTAGTACCTAGTTACTGTGATATAGTAAAAAAATATATTTTAATATTCTAAAATCTTGTTTTGATACCAAATTTATATTAGTATTTATTATTTTTTTTATCAAAATATTAGGTATTTTTTAAATTAAGTAGGTATAATTTTTTGGATAATTTAAATTTATTTGGAAAATTTTAGAAATGATAATAGAATTTATTCTATGTATCAACACTTATTGTTCCAAATTATTCTTGTAAGTATAAAAATCAACTTGGTATGGATAAATTAAAAAATGTTGTTTTTTTAAACTATTATCATAGTTGATATAATCAAAACTAGGAATACTAAAAAGTTTATTATAAGGAATATATAAGAAAATGTTGTAAAGTAATTTCTACACAAATAATTTGTGAATATAACATACTATGGTATGTTTTAGAAAATTTATGTGTGAAATTAAATTTTTTATCAATTGAAAAAGGTATGTACTACATAATTATTATGTTCAGTTATTCTAAAATATTCTGTATAATGTGAAGTATACATGAGTAAAGCGATTTAAAAATAGACCTAGAGTATAATTATTTGAATTTGGTAATCGTTAACAGAAATTTTAAATAAACACAAGTATCAATGTAAACAATGAGAAAATAAATAAATATAAATGTACACATGATTGGTACTATGTTTTTAAAAAGACAGGCTATAACTTTTTATAATTTATAGTAAGTAAGCCCTAGGTGTTTAGTTGTCAATTTCAAATATAAATAGATTTAAAATAATTTATCTAACCTAAATAAAGATTTAATCATACAATAATACAAAAAATAAAATAAAATATAAAATGGTATAACTGAAAAAATTCAGAAGAAACAGTAGATAAATACTCATTGTATATAATTCAGTATTAAACATCCTGAATAACAGGTGTATTTTTCTCATCTTCTAGATCTTGAGTTGTAGTTAGGTTACTCCACCAATTGGTTACAGCACCTTTAGCTTGAGAAATAGCACCTCCTATCACAAATTAATATAATATTATAATTAATAAAAAAAAAGGATATAATTATCATTTATTTCCTTAATATATAAGACATACCAACAACTTTACCCGTAGATGCAACTGCTCTACTAGTATTTTGGACTGCTTGATTTAACTTTCGACCACTTCTACTGCTTTGCATTGTACTATTAAACATAATAAATTATGTCTTGTTTTGATTATAGTTTATTACTTACTTATTTATATTTATAACATAGATAAAAGTTATTAAAAATAAATTTAATAGTTATTTGTTTAGTTAATTAGCTTACAATTGATGTATTATTTCTCTTTCAGTTAAAAAGTTGAGTACATATAAGCAAAGATAATAAATAACTTTTAACTTAAAATTATAAATAAAAATTGTTAACATAATAAATTGTATTGTTTACAATAAACTTAGATATAAAATTTAGTTTTTTAATGATACTTAAGTAAACAAATTTATTGGCTAATATTAAAACTCATCTTTTCTTTAAACTTATTACTTGCAGTTAGGGTTGGACTAGCTTAAACAAACGGCTCGGGAAATAATTTTTTAACAGGCCCCTGCTCTCAGCTCACAGACTGTGCTATGGAAATGTTAGAACTAAATAATTTTTTGCTCCCTCAGAGGTATATATAAGGAGGGGGGGTTTTTGTTGGTACGGCACTATTAAAATAAATGTAATATAAATAGTAGTATTAATAATATCCTCGTCCTCAGTCTTTTATATTTAAACGTTACATACCATATAGTTTTGGCTATAGGTAGGCACGGTTATCACAACAGTTAAATATTATTAATAATATTATATTATTAGTATTATTACCATTTAACATATGCAAAGGCCCCCGCACTGCTTATTATTAGCCCTAAATAGCCTACTGCAGCCCCCATAGGCTCATTTTCATGGTGGCTTACCAGGAAAATTCCGGTGTCCCGGTGGCCTAGTCCAACCCTGCTTGCAGTAAAATATTGAAACTTGTAAAACATTAAATGAAATAAGTTTTACATCAAATAATTTTATATTTTCTTTTACTTCTATTTACAGCTTATTTAGTTTTTTTTCAACTGTCCTCTAACTATTCTAATCTAACTGATTTTGTACTATTAAAAATTAAAAATCTATTAATGCATACAGGTAAAAATTTGTAAAATTATCTAGTTTAAAAAAATCGTTATTAATTATTAATACAGAACTAATTTTAAAACATTAAATATAAGTAATGATTTAAGACTGCTATTATTATAATTTAAATTTTTAATTATTTAAATCAAAGCTATAACTAATAAAATAAGAAGTAAGTACTCAATTATATAGGATAATTAATTTTATGGAAGAACACTCATTATTTCAAAAACTATCTACATTTATATACACATATTTTTTTTACATGATTTTAAGTTGTTACAAAACAAAATTTCTAAAACATTTACCTATATTTTCATTTTATATTTTTCACCTTAAAGTTGATTATTATTGGTAGGCTGTAGCCTATTTTGATATATAAAAATTATATTTTAAATGTGTTGTTGGTTAGCTTAACTATTTAAAGCTTAGATAGGTATTGAATTAAACTAACTTTTTGTAGGATATATTTGTAAAATTGCATTTAAAAAACTTGTAAAAGTATTTTATTTAGTGTACGATGAAAAAATATAAAAATAATAAAAAATACAATTTATTTAAAATATTTGTATTACAGTAAATAAAATTTATGTAAAAAAAAAGAACTAATAGTTTTTTAAATAATGAATGTTTTTTTATAAAAGTATTAATCAATTTAATTTAGAAATTTAATTTGTATCAAGCAATTTACATACTGTGATATTCTTAGTTTCATATCAGCAACAGACAATTGACCAGCAAATGGATGACAAGGTTCAAGTGCCATAATTGCTTGGTGTTCTTGGTTCAACCAAATTTGGTAATTTTTTGTTTGTTGCCAAGCAGATATAAAAGATGGATTAAAATGGTTTAATTCAGGTGCTCCTTCTATTGTAATTTATAAATAAATTTTATATTATAAAAGTAATGGTATTTACAAATTGTTTCAAAACTAATTGTTAGAAAATAAGAATATAATAATAATATATAAAAATACTACTGACCACTTAATAATGATGTTCTTAATAAGGATAATAAATAAGCCTTAAATTGTGCTCTTATCCATTCATCACCACCTTCCCATCCAACTCCATCCAGAAATACATCTTCTTTTTCTGGTTGGACAACATGTCTAACTAAATAATCAGCAAAACGAAGATCTTCTGTAGTTAAATGTAAATGTCGTTTAAGTTCAATATTTTCTATTTCTACTTTTCCTTCATCGATCTAAAATAAACATTTTTTTATGAATATAATATACAATTAGTAAGTTTAAAAAATAAAAAAACTTTACCTCAACAATTACATCAGCTAAATTCTTCTTTTGTTTGAACAATATATTTGATGCCCCGATTACATATCCTCGAACACTTGGATCTGTTAATATATCCATATATGAAAGGCAAGAATATGGTTGACATAAATTACCCTAAAATATTAATTATTTTAAATTATTTTCTTTCATGGAAAATATTGAATTACTTATACAAACATTATCAAAAATAGACATAGGAACTCCACAATCTTCAGAATTGATTTGGGCAATGCTTATCATATTATACTGCATAGCAGCTTCATCCAAAGAATCAATACTAGGATCTTTAGGAATGTTTGAAACAAAGGTATTGTTAGGAACTAAATCTTCATCAACAACATCATTTGATTTTTGACTAACTATGCTATGATCATTATCTTCTGTTTCTGGACTTATGTTTGAAACATTAACTTCACATTTGTTTTCGCTAGAAGGTTGGGATGCACTACTGAGACTAAAAAAAAAAGAAATCATGCATTTTGTAATAATTGTCAATTTTATGCATGTTTATAAATATTTAGTTACTTAATATTGGCAGATTTATTGAGTCCATTTTCAATAAGTCCAGGGTGAAGAGATAATAAGGTTAATATTGTAGAACAAAGTGGACGAACAGGAGAGTAAAAAAATAGTACTTTGTTTTCTAACAACATCAATTTAAATAGCAACAATACTTTATGTCTAAACCTTGTTACAAGTTCAACTGCAGATAGACCTGTGAAAAAATATAGTTTAGTAATAAATAGTGAATAAAAGGCAACAAACAAATACAAACCAACAAATAGATGAGGACTAGTGCTAATATTGTCTATACTAGACAAACAGGCATTAAGGTGGTGATAAGTGTCATGCAAGAGTGATATTTTACTGAAATCGCCTTCTTCAAAATATGCATGTGTAATTAGAGACATTTTAACTTGAATGTGCCCATATAATGGTAATGTACTAAGTACACAAACTGATTTTTGGATTGTACTTCTTGTCATATCAGGAGTTCGATTAATAATTTTCTTTAAAAATAAAAATATTTTAAGTACCTAACTCAATAGTTAAAATTATTTGTTATTTACTTCTAATGGTATTTGTCTATAACATGAAATCCCATAAATTGTTTCATTTGGATCTTGTTGACTTGGAAGATGAAAGTATGCAGTGTCTTCATCAAAGTTGTGCGATCCATCAGGCAATGCTAAATACGGCAAATGTTTCCAAGCTGCTGGACATTCAGCAGAAACACCAGTGGTATCTTCGATAAATGGTGGATAAGCATATTCTACCTAAACATAAAAATAAATAAATAACTGAACAGTTTTTTTAAACAAATTTAATAAATTATTTATTTTTTTAACAATATTTTTTCTATATATATTTTATTTTATCTATATACAAGCATACATATATATTAAATATATATTGGCCTACTCAAATTTGCTTGTAATTTTGATTGAAGCTAACATCTTTTAAGATTAATAAAATAACTATGTAGAAAATATTAACTGGATTAAATATAAAATACACTATCTATACATTGCATATTTATTTAGTTCTATACGTATATTATTATTCAGATAAAACAGCATATTAGGTCCAGCAACATTTGAACTATCAGTCAATAAAATTTGTACATATGGTTGCATATTAAACATGAAACCATTAAAACCATGAGTGAGTAGTCTTTGAAACGTACCTGACATCCTTTTTTATGATGGAATCCAACCACCAAAACGTGTAAAATTGGATTATCTGTCATGGCGATGAACGTTGTACAATATTAATTTGTGATTGTAAACATATTGACCGCAGTGTGTACATACAACGTATTCATTTGATATAATTTATTTACAACTCTTTGGCAGATTCGCCATTCGTATCGTTTTTAGTTTTAGTGTTATAATTTACGTTTAACCAGAACGTAGTATAGAGGCAGTGCGATCTTCGCCAAAGTGAGTAACGTCTGCTTTTAATCTAGTACTTCACATCGATCCACTGACAACACGTAGGAAAATTTGTTTTCGTAATACTTCAAATTTTTGTGTTATGTCGACCATCGATGATATCTAGTATAAATGTTATTATTGTCATTGAAAGAGTGAAACAGTATTATCGATTTGATAAGAGCGTATTGATAACAAAAGAAAAAACCTGTATTGCATAGACCCATATACAAAAATGTGGGTTTCTGCGCACGCGCTTGACATTTTCCGCTTTTGAGCGCGTAAATAGCGAATTGCGACGAAGGTCCAAATTAGTGTCTAAAAATGGAATAAGGTAGGTACTGAGATTTCTTTAATTTGTTGAGCCTTCCGTGCGTATAAGCACTAATATGTTTTATATTTAAATAATTATGATTTCTCTTAACCTAACTTAATCTCCGGTCATTGACCACTGTTTATTTTGACATAAATATTGATTAATTAATGATTTAAATATTATTAGAAATTATACTACACTGTATTGAATAAAAAAAAATATATAGTTTATGCAAGTGTTTATAATTTAACAAATAATTGCTCTTTTTTGTTTCACAGTAATACGACTCTATCAAAACGAAAAACTGAAAATGAGTTTAATTCTAGAGTTCTTCATTAGCGTTATAGAATTGGAAGTGTTAGGAATACTTTGAATTCTCAACTAATATGTTTTTATGTGTCACCAAGAAAAACATATTGATAATTTTTTTTGGATTTTTATGTTATTTATAATAATCATTAGACATAAATACATAATGATTTAAATGTGTTGCTGTTAATATAGATTTATGTTGGGATTTCGTCGGAACCACTATCATAGTAATTCTGAAATTTGGAATATTATTGAAAATAGTATAATAGAAGTTAGAAAAGATTTGTAAAATTAAGGTGAAAAATATGATTTTGGAGAAAACATTGATGGCATTAAAGGAAAGTCATTATTTTGTATTTGTACATCGAATGCATAAAACTTTTAGAAGTTATTGTTAGGTACTATTTTACAAGTTTCCAAAATACTTATAATTTTTCTGGAATTTTGAAAACATATTTTAAAGTTTTATGTATGCATGTGTAACCTAATCGTTTTTCATACTTCAAATTTTTTTTTAAAAATTTATTACGGTTTAGGTTAGGGTGACCATATTAAGAAAATAAAAAAACGGGACATCTGAAACGTCTACCCCCTACCCCCCCCCCAACACACCCAAAGAATGAGTTTACGGAAAGAAATTCATTGATCGAATGTCAACAGCGAACAGTGTCAACTAACAACTATTAGCGATAAACTCGTAATGCCTATAAAAGACGGAAGAAGACGGACAACGTAAAAACGATAAAGAACTTAATAGAATTAGAATAGAATAATAATAATAATCGAATCAATATAATTATAATATTCATAAGACTACAGGCTTGTCGTCCAGTTGTCGATACCGTAATACGGGTATTCGTAATAATTGAAAAACAAAAATAGCAGACGACCGTCAGCGTACACATACTTTTATATTTAAGGAATAATAATAATAATTGTGTAGCGTGTGCGTGGTTTAGTCGGTCGGTGCGATAAGACGACGACGACCGAAATAATCGCACAGCTGAACATGGTGTCTGTTATTTATAAATTTGGTTTCTAATTTTAATCATATATACGAGTAAAACTGTTTTATATTAATTGTTTCATAAATCGATATTTTTTTTCACAAACATAATATAATAATATTGAAATAACGGGATTAAAACAGGACCATCTTCTAAAAACGGGATAAAAAGCGTCCCGTTCGAAGTTTGTCGGGACAACGGGACATGATGACCAAAAACGGGACAATCCCGTTTTAAACGGGACGTCTAGTCACCCTAGTTTAGGTGATTAAAAATTATATAATTTAATGTTAAAATCGTATTATTATTTAAAAAGTATAATTACTAGTTATTATTTTTATAGTAATATATATATATATATATATATATATATATATATATATATATGTTTAATGTATGTAACTATTTTAATTATCATTATTATATAATATACCGACTATTAATTATTATTTGCACGTAAAAATACTTAGTAATAATTAGGTATTAACTTTAGTTATAAAAGAATACCAAAAAACAATTTATTTTAAAATGTAAAAAAATGTAAACTACCCGTACATACACAATATATATTTAACTACATAAGTTATAATGGTATTTTATTATTTAATATATAGGCTATAATACATACATTATAATATATTAAGATATAATAACACATATTGATATTAATATCAATATGTGTTATTGATTATATCTCTCAACTTTTCACTTGGAATCGATTCACCTTATACGAACATTTTTTTCTAGGATAGGCAATGATTTTAAATAATGATATTGGTGTTCAAGTGGTATAGGTACTCTTTGACTGTTGGACATAACAAAGATTAATATGGTGTGACTGAAAAAATGTATTACAAATAAATGTAATTGCCGATCCAAAAATGTATTTTACAATTCGAGATGTTATAGTAGCCTGCACGAATAAATAATAGTAAAAAATTGTGAAATAATATATATAATAATAATAATGTACATCTGTGTATAAAAATTCTTAAATACTAGTAGCAGTGGCTGATGTACTAATAAATTTAGGTATTTATCGATAAATCTGAAATACAAAAGCACCCCTCACAAGTTCACACATTACTTATTCATAAATAATTATAAATGTATTATAAATCTACAATATTTTTTACAGTGCTATTAATACCTAAATAAAAGGTAAATATTAATTTATTATTAAATAATTAAATAATATAATAACTTATTAATAACTATATAATTGGTATTTATTAATTTTTAAATAATGATGGTGCTTATTAAATAAGCCTTATCAATTTTAAAACAGAAGGTACTAAATACGCTTAAGTCTCCCCCTCCCCGGAAAAAAAAATCGTAAAAATAAATTTTTTCTGTTTGCGTATCCATAACTTTACAAATATATAACATTAAGTATGATGCATTAACATATAAAACAGTCAAGTAATATCTACTTTTAGTATACTAGGTGCTGCAGAAACAAAGTGGTACACTCCTAAATCTGTCTGCTGTTGCAGTATAATGCCTTTCGGACGTGGCATACGGGTAAAACGTATGATGCGGAAACACGTTGTTATATATATTATATATTTATTTATTTTACTGTAGGGTCCAAACACTGCAAAGTTTACTACTATTTGTAGTTAATACTTACGCCGCCAGCGAGAGCTGACCGGACACGGCGTGTAGTCATCTATACACGTATGATACACATACACATAGACATATAACATATATAAGGATTATATGGTATACCATCATGCGATAATGACCGTAAAGTCAGTATCTATGTGCCTCCGGAGATTCAGCTGTGAGCACGATACTTACTACTTTATGTCTTCATACCTTCCTCCCTCAGGAAGATGACGATTTTCAACGTGATATTTAATATGTGTTGGTTGAACATTTAAAATAACCCGAATCATCGCGAATAGTTTGAGTATATAATATGATATTGCAGCAGCAGGAGAAAGGATGTCCCAGGACTGTAATTTAGTTGTATAAGTGTGTGTGTATGCATGTGTATATAGTATATGTGTGTGCTAGGGAGAGGGGTCGGATTTGAAAAACCATAATACAAGTACACAACTAACATCATATTATGATGTGTAAGTAGTGCGTAGGTATATATTTTATAATATCAACACTCGATAAAAATAAACGTCATAACAACTAACACGGATTTAATAATTGCTTAAATTATATATCATCGAAATCTCAAAATATTAATTATGACAAACTTTCTGATTTCTACTTAATAGGTGTTCAGTTTTTGTTGCAAGCATTTTAAGTTTACTTATGTAATTGCGTAATAATAGTAATTTCGACAATTGATCTTTTGTATCATGAAGCTAAGGCAATATGATAGAATCTCATTCAGAAATGTTATCTGTAGAATATTGTATAGTATTTTATAGGTAACATTGGGACATTTGAGATAGGTACTTATTAGAATTTAATTTCTAATTTTCTATATTAAATATAGTTTGGAACATAAATATTTATCGCATGTCGTATAGTTTTTTTTTAAATATAATATATAACTAATAATAAGTGTAAATATAACACTTATATTTTGATTTAAATATAAATGTATAATGTACATATATAATTTCTGTTTTGGTCAATGGAAACTGTTACTTCATTCAATGTTTAAGTGATATTAATGATTTTCATAAGTATATAGTTTTAATCAAATTAAAACTATACTAGTGAAATGGTTAAATATATCTGATAATGATCAAATAGTCGATTTCAAAATATAAAATAACAAAAAGAGAATGTTTTAAAATGCTTTTAAATTCCAATGATAGAATGAGTATTGACAGAATGAAAGAACCAAATCGAAAAATTATGGAAGGAGTTGAAATAGAAAGCTTTTTTGACAAAAGGACTAAGAAGAATACTATACTTTGACAAGTTTAACATCAAGAAAAGTCTCTAGAGATCTATTGAAGTCGTTGGCACATCGTGAGACATTAAGAATATAATGAAAACAAATAATTCACTTAGTCAGATACTTTTCTCGTATCTAATGAATATAAATGGAATTGATTGAGTTCCTGTATAGGTTCCTATATAGGATCAAAACTATTTAAAACAAAATCGTTTATATATTATACATGATATAGTTGGGTAACAGTGTGTTGGATACATAATATAATATAATATTAAACCGATTATATTAATATTTCGCATAAATTATTAAATATATCATAAATTCATTACACATATTTAATACAATTTTTAGTGGTAGAACAATGATAATTAATTATTAAATTTGTATCATAAATAAAAAAAAAAAACTATATCTAGTAATTATATAAATTTAATTTTTAAGAAAATATTGAAAAACGTATAATATAATATATAGGTTATTGATTTTGTAATTTCTAAAAATAACATTTATATATTTTGTTAAAGTTACTTAGTACAGTAGTCAGTAGTAGGTACTTTATTTATAATACTTTCTTAGTTTTTACAGTTGTAACTTAAATTTATAATTTTATTTTTCTTACACTTATAATTTTTGTTTTGTTTTTATTACAATATATTG